GTCAATTTTTTCAGCTTTCGATTTTGTGTTTAAATGAAAAAAAAAAAAAAAAATGTTTACATGACTTGAACTGCGATGCCGGACTGAACCAGGACTAAACCAGGACTAAACCAGCACTAAACCAGGACTAAAACAGGACTAAACAACGACTAAACCACGACTAAAACAGAACTGAACCAGGACTGAGTGCTGGGACTGGCCCAGAGGTAGACTGTCAGGTGATCAGGACTAAGACCAGGACCAGACTGGGACCAGACAAGGACTGAGACCAAGTCGAGACCGCGACCAGGACTAGGACTGAGACCGGGATTGAGACCGCGACCAGACCAGGACCAGATCGGGACTGAGACCAGAACTGAGACAGGGATTGAGACAGGAACTGAGATGGGGACTGAGACCAGGACTGAGACCAGGACCAGACAAGAACCGAGATCAGGACTGGTCCCGAAATCATTATCCATTACCCGTATTTTTCACTTTGATAATGAAGAAATTTAGTTTTGTTTTGTTTTCTTATTTTTGTTTTTATTTTGAAAAATGAATGAATGATACTCGGATTCTTGTGCCACGCTTTTTGATTAAACCTGTGCAGGGTCTGATTATTGTTTTCTATTAAATGATTTTATTTGACAGAAAGGACACATGCATGGAGTGAGTTACGTGGAGTTTGGAGAGAAACTGGACAGTTTACTCTGCCTTTTCATATGGAGCTTCCTTCTCTTTGTACATTGTAGTTTTTGTGTTAGATCCTAATCTTTTTGAGAGCTTTTGCCTTTTAGTCAGGTTGTCAATGCACAAGGCACATGTCTCGAGTCATCTACACTTGGAAAATACTTTGACAAGACTTTGGTGCAAATCATTACTGTCATGAAGAATTAAGATTTAAAGGGAAGTGAAGGCTTGTCACAACGATTACTATATTGACTTACTGTTCAATATATGAAAGCTGGAACCATATTTTTTAGGTCAGTATTTATCATTTGTACTGTTTCTTTGCGCCATAGGGACATGTTTGGTTATTTTTGTGGCTACGCGATAAGATTTGAGTCGTAAAAGGTTTTTCTATGACACAATACAGACGCAAACTAAGGCCCCGTTAACACGTACACTGGTATTTTTAAATACGGAGACATTTTCTTTCATTTGTTTCATCTTTTACACGCAAACGCCTCTGAAAAAGAACCTTTCTAGAGTAGAGATTCTGGAAAAACTACGGTTTGGTGTTTGTGTGCAAAGCGATTAACGGAGTTTTAGGAGCTGAGGCGCCAAAAGTGCGACCAGTGTTTCCCTTTTGCTCTGATGATGATGACGCATCAGAGCAGCAGTCGCATTTCTTCTGGTGAAACACTTTTCATGTGTTTTATTTGCACACAGCTGATGGATCATATCCATGACCAGAGACCAATGAGGCTTTAACAGATCTGTGGAGAGGCGAGCAGCTCACTAATGAGTGTGAGTAAAACTTACACCTGTAATGAAATAAATGCTACAGGTTTGAATCTGATCCAGGCACCAGGCCAGAGTCTAGGTGTAGTTATGACGGCGCTCGATGGAGGATTTATGCAGGTCGATGTAAATGAAAACTGTTTTTGAAAACGATGCTGTGTGCACAATGTTATTTTGGAAAACGGAGAGAGGAAAATATAAATTTCTCAACATACCGGCTCTGTGTAAATGTAGCCTAAGTACTACAGTGTTTCACTCTGCTGTTATATTTTGTTTCTCCATTTTTATTTAACAGTATTGTAGATTTAGAAGAGTTTTTGTGCTTTCTGCTCTGTGGTTTTTGTGTTTGTGGTACACTGAAGGAGGACTGTGCTTGTGTGGTTTGTGACTTAAGAGTGAATAGAGCTTATTATCCATAAATATACAAACATGATACAAAACTGTACACAGCAACTTGACAGACCTGATGAGATGTTCAGTAGTCCCATTAATTATGTTGTGATAGCGCTCTGAAGGGGGAGTGACAAAAACTAAAGTGATAATTTAGTGATACTAGAAGACGTTAAGATTCAGATTCAGAAAACTTTATTGATCCCATAAGGCAATTCATTTGCAGCATCTCCAAGCAAAACAAACACAAACAAACACACAGTGTGTCAGTCCAATTGTCGTCCACCAGTGGAACTCAAAATAAATAACAAATTGCAGAGTAAAACTTTCATAAAACTATCATAAATCTGTACCCTTAGAATTTAATCATTTAATAGCACTGGGCACGAAAGAATTAGAAAACCTTTTGGTTTTCCGTACTGGAGCATAAAACCGACGCCCTGAAGGCATCAGGATAAAATCAGGAGCCAGAGGATGGAGCGGCTGAGCCACGAGACACTTGGCTTTGCTCAGCACTTGCTCCTCCCACAAAGAACTCAGCTCCCTCAGTTTGATCCCTGTGATTTTTGAACAGGTTTTAACAATATTGTGAAGTTTGTTTCTATCCTTCACAGACAAGGATTCAAACCAGCAAATAAAAGAAAAAGTAGGAAGACTTTCAATAAATATAATCTTTGCTGCCCTCGTTTGACGACGTTTTCAGTATTTAGGTCAAATTTCAGTTTATTGTCCATCACGGTGCCCAGATATTTGTAGCTATCAACTATTTCAAGATCATCACCGTGGACGACACCAACACTGTGTGAAGGTGCACGTCTAAAATCAATCACCGTGTCCTTAGTTTTGGCAACGTTCAAATCCAGGTAGTTTTCCTCACAACCACTGGACAAACTGCTCCAGTGCAGGACCATGATTTCTCTCAGATCCTGAAAGCAGCAACACCTGGACCGTGTCATCTGAGTATCTGATTAGGCGTCGATTTTCCTCTGAGGATCTGCAGCTGTTAATATGTTATTTTCAGTAAATATACTAGTAGAACCAAAACAATAAAAGCTAACATGTTCATCTAAATATGTTTTGTGTTAGCAGTTAATACCCCATAGAAATAAAATACTCCTTCTGCTCTTCTTGTTCTGGAGTAATATCAGTTCTAATCCCTCAGACTGGAGCAGCGGCCTGTGTCACACGACTGGTCCAGGGTCTCGTGTCCAGGTTCCTCCGCTCTCTGGTGTCGGGCTCTTGGAGATCCACTCTGCACATTAGTGGTCATTGTGTACAAAGCCTTCGCGTTGCTTAGCGCAGATTTGCACTCTAAGTCACCTCAGTCCTCTTAAGGCCTAATCCCTCCTCATCTGCGGTGGACGACGCAACACACGCGCACGAAAATGATCTAGAGTAAATGTTTAGCCTGATTATTTTCAAATCTATTCTCATTAAAGGTCCTATATTATGTAAAATGTTCTCTTGTGAGCTTTAAGCTGTGTTAAAATGCTGCTCAAATCTCCTCAAAAACACTTCCTGCCAATCTGCTTGTCTCATGAAAAGTTATTTTATTCAACAGTATGGCATTACTGTTGCATGTTACATTACAATCATTAAAGGTTGTATAGAGGATTTTTTTAAGGGAAGAGAAATACAGCGACAGTTCTTTTACAAATGTCGTGCATGCGAGTTTTCAGACCCTTCGTCCGCTTCACTCACGCAATCGCTGGAAGGAATCTCCAAGAATCACCTCAGTTTGTCTTCGCTCCTTTTCCCCTTCTCTTCTTCTTTCAGCGACCTCAAAAACGGACTTTCTTTTGCGGCGAACTGGTCGTGGATTCTCGTCCGCCATCGCGACAAACTTTGTGAGGAAGTGACAGTTTGAAAAAGCCTCTAAGAACCGCTGCATAAACCACGTGATCCCTGCATCCCGACGAGTCAATTACACTAGAAACGTAGGGAGTTTGATTGATGACCTGACAGCCAATAGGTAAAGAGGCAGCCTCGTTTTCTATTGGCTGATGTTTATCTGGCCTCAACACGTCCACAGTTGATAAATTTTCATTCTTTTTTTTTTTTGGTCATCGTAATTACAAGGCTGCTGCGTCTCTGTAATGGTATTTTAAACTTTCATTGACAATTTGAAACAAAAAAAAAATCCTCCATACAACCTTTAAGATCAGTGAGGACCTGAAACTCCGCCAGCGTGATACAGCGTGCCCAGCAGAGACTGTTCTTTTTTTTTTTGCGAACACTCCACCGGAATGGGTTCTGCCAGAAGCTACTGACAATTTCTACCGGTGTACCGTCGAAAGCGTTCTGTCATACTGCTGCGCATCATGATACAGAGCTTGCACAGCTGCTAAAATGAAGGACCTGCAGCGAGTGGCGAGAACAGCTGAGGTGGTGGTGGGCTCCTCTCTCTCGAACCTGGTCATCATCTACTCCAACATCCTGCAGGACCCCACACGCACCCTGGGAACTGCCTCTTCCATACTCTCCCCTCAGGAAGGCTTCAAACTCTCCTCACACACACAAACAGGCTGCGCAACGGCTTCTGCCCACGAGCACAGGCACAGATAAAAGGCTGGAGATACTCTGTGCAATAATCTATCGATTTATTTATTTATTTATTTAATGTTTTTATTGGTATGGATGTGAGAGTGTGTCTATATTTATTCATTTTTACTTCTACATATTTGCTCTGTCGAAGCCTTGTTGTATTTTGTACAATGACAATAAATAAAATACATCTAATCTTACCTATATTATATTTGTTAAATTGAAGGTGTTTTTATGAGCGTGGCCGTCTCTGCACAGATCTGACCAGTAATTTTGGCCTTGTGTATGACCTGCTTGTTTCTATGGAGAAGTGTAAGACCGTACTGTAGCTATTCCAGACATACCAATAATATTTCCTTGGAGAAAAGTAGCTGCCCGACCCTCCACCAGAAAAACACACAGTGCAGCTTTAAAATGAAATTGTTTATTTGTTCATTTTAAGGTCCTTTGCTCTTGTACCGTAACAAAACTGAGTGGCCATACTTTACTTCTTCACATTTCACACTATATGAGGGCAAGTATCAGTATTAGATCCCAAATAAACAGTATCTGAACAAAAATACTGGTCCCTGGAGTTGATTCTGTCGCTCCCAGTCTCTGACCGTGTCCTCTCTCCACAGATAAACATGTGGTCAACGGGAACACCACAGTGGAGCCCTTCCCTCCGGGTCTGGACACCATCTTATTCGGTGAGAGCATTCAGATAAAACACTTCAGTCTGCACAGTTTTTACAAACACAACGGAACGCAGTATTAAGAATGAATAACAACAGCTACAACATTTCTGAAGTTAAGACAAAAGAAATGCAAATGTAGTACTATAGGTTTGTGTTGTTGTTGTTGTGACGTTGGCATGGTGTTAGTTTGGTGGTGGTGTTGGTGTGTCTTGATGTGGTGTTGGTGTTGTGTTGGCATGGTCTTGTTGCAGTGTGTGGTGTTGATGTGGTGTTGGCGTGGACATGGTGTTCGTGCGGTGATGGTGGTGCAGTGTTGGTGTAGTGCTGGTGTGATGTGATGTTGGTGTGGCATTGGTGTAGTGTTGGTGTAGTGTTGGTGTAGTGTTAGTGTGTTGTGTTGTGGTGTTGGTGTAGTGTTGGTGTATGTGCTGGTGTAGTGTTGATGCGGTGTTGGTATAAGTGTTGGTGTAGTGTTGGTGTGGTGTTGGTATAAGTGTTGGTGTGATGTAGTGTTGGTGTGTGTGGTGTTGGATGTGTGTAGTGTGTGATGTAGTGTTGGTGTAGTGTCGGTGTGATGTCTGGTGTAGTGTTGTGATGTAGTGTTGGTGTGATGTAGTGTTGGTGTAGTTGTTGTGTTTATGTAATGTTGGTGTGTGTGTGTGTGTGATGTAGTGTTGGTGTAGTGTTGGTGTTATGTTGGTGTTGTTGTAGTGTGTGTGTGTTGTGTGATGTAGTGTTGGTGTGGTGTGTGTGTGATGTAGTGTTGGTGTAGTGTTGGTGTTATGTGGTGTTGGTGTGGTGTTGTGTGATGTAGTGTTGGTGTGATGTGTAGTGTGTTGTGTGTTGGTGTGTAGTGTTGGTGTTATGTAGTGTTGGTGTGTTGTTGTGTGTAAGTGTGTTGTGTGTGATGTAGTGTTGGTGTAGTGTGGTGTGGTGTTGTGTGATGTAGTGTTGTGTGATGTAAGTGTGTGTGGTGTGATGTTGGTGTGTTAGTGTGTTAGTGTGTGTAAGTGTTGTTAGTGTTGTAGTGTTGTGTGATATAGTGTTGGTGTGATGTAGTGTTAGTGTGATGTGATGTAGTGTGTTGTGGTGTTGGTGTAGTGTTGGTGTGATGTTGGTGTGTTAGTGTTAGTGTAAGTGTTGGTGTAGTGTTGATATGGTGTTGGTATAAGTGTTGGTGTGATGTTGGTGTGATGTAGTGTTGGTGTAGTGTTGGAGTGATGTTAGTGTGTTGTGGTGTTGGTGTAGTGCTGTGTGATGTAGTGTTGGTGTGATGTTGGTGTGTTAGTGTTAGTGTAAGTGTTGGTGTAGTGTTGATATGGTGTTGGTATAAGTGTTGGTTTAGTGTTGGTGTTATGTGGTGTTGGTGTAGTGTTAGTGTGTTGTGGTGTTGGTGTGGTGTTGTGTGATGTAGTGTTGGTGTAGTGTTGGTGCGATGTAGTGTTGGTGTAGTGTTGTGTGATGTAGTGTTGGAGTGATGTTAGTGTGTTGTGGTGTTGGTGTAGTGTTGGTGTGATGTAGTGTTGGTGTGATGTTGGTGTGTTAGTGTTAGTGTAAGTGTTGGTGTAGTGTTGATGTGGTTGTTTTGGATTTGGCGTGATGTGGTGTTGGTGTAGTGTTGTGTGATATAGTGTTGGTGTGATGTAGTGTTAGTGTGATGTAGTGTGTTGTGGTGTTGGTGTGATGTTGGTGTGATGTAGTGTTGGTGTAGTGTTGGTGTGATGTTGGTGTGATGTAGTGTTGTGTGATGTAGTGTTGGTGTGATGTTGGTGTGTGTAGTGTTAGTGTAAGTGTTGGTGTAGTGTTGATATGGTGTTGGTATAAGTGTTGGTGTAGTGCTGATGTGGTTGTTTTGGATTTGGCGTGATGTGGTGTTGATGTAGTGTTGTTGTGGTGCTGGTGTAAGTGTCGGTGTGGCGTTGATGAGCTGTTGGTGTGGTGGTGGTGGTGGTGGAGGAGTGTTTTTGGCCCGGTGTTGGTGTAGTGTTGGTGTGAGGTTGGTGTGTCTTGGTGTGGTCTGTAGTGTTGGTGTGGCATTGGTGTAATGTTAGTGTTAGTGTGGTGGTGTTGAGGTTTTGGTGTGGTGTTGGCGTAGTGTTAATGAGCTGTTGGTGTGGTGTTCGTTTTGGCGTTGGTGTGATGTGGTGTTGGTGTAGTGTTGGTTTGGTGGTGTTAAGGTTTTGGTATGGTGCTGGTGTGTCTGGGTGTGGTTTTGATGTTGGTTTTGGTGTTGGTGTGGGTCTGAGCTGTACGCTGCAGAACACAATGTTTCCGGCGCCGCTCACCTGTCTGCTGCTCTCTCTTTTCTGCCAACACTTTACAACCCTGCACCTGCTGCACCTCCTGCTCTACAGCCTTATTAGAATCACCTACTTTTACCACCAACACAACTATGACATCAAACTTCATCTTTTGGTAGCCGTCTGTTAACTAAACCAGACTTAACCAAGATTAAATCCTTAAAAAAACAAGACTAAACCAGCACTAAACCGAGTCTTAACCTATTAAACTATGGCCCAAAACAAACCCTTGAATGAAACAGTTGTTGTGTGTGCCGCGTTCTCTTACCAGTGTGTCTGTTTGGGCTTTGCTTCCAGGCATGGGCTGCTTCTGGGGCGTGGAGCGTCTGTTCTGGCGCCTGCCCGGGGTCTTTTCCACCCAGGTGGGCTACGCTGGAGGATACACCCCCAACCCCAACTACGAAGAAGTCTGCACAGGTCAGTCTGCGTTTGGACTAAAACTAAGACTAACATTTAGTCTAATATTTTATCTACTGTAGGGTTGTGTGCTCATGTACCAAGCATCCGGTTATACTTTTATGCACTGAGTAGTCACTGCATTTGTTGTGGATCTGGATTTTGGCAGATGATTCCCCAATTTTGCCTTTGGTTTGCACTGCAGTTGTGGTCTCCTAAATAAATCAGGACTAACCAACACATCGACACATTCGGGACGAGCTTGGGTTTATACACCACAGCAGCACAAGCTCATACGCTTCATATGCTGCACTATTTATTTATTTATTATTATTTTTTGTAGTACTTTTTATTACCCCTGTAGGGAAATTCTGCTCTGCATTTCACCAACCTTTCCAGGAGCAGTAGGCAGCACATGAGGCACCCAGGAACCTGTCTCCGTGATCATGTTGCTTCTGGTCAGGACCTCAGCTGGAGGATTTAACCTGTGGTGCATGTTTTGGTCCATGAAGGCCCGGGCCCAGGACCCAGGGACTGAACCTGGGACCTTCTTGCTGCGTGAGTGCTAGCCACTCAGCCTACATGCCACAGTTTTCAAAGAGAATTTTAATAGTAATTGGTCGGGCAATATAAATCAGCAGTGTACGTCCAACAGACATCGCTCAAAAAAGTGTCTCCAGGCTTTTCACAATCACACAGAAAAGAGACAAATGCTGTCAAAATACACTTCAGATGCTCTTTCAAAATAAGACAGTACAGTTGTACACTCTGAGAACGGCTCATGATGGACTAGTAAAAGTGTATTGTTAAAGTGTAGAAATATAATACACTTTAACACATCAGACATGGATAGAACAAGAAAAGCTTGTGAAGGAGAAGGAACAAGGCAACGTGCAATAGCCCCAATTCTGACGGTGAGTTGCCTAATGAATACAAACATGCTCTCTCGTGCAGCAAATCATGTTGACATTTAGTTTTAAAGTGTAATTCATGCGACCAACATGTGAGCAACATAAAACTAGTGTTAGTGTTACAGGAGCACTGATGCCTCAGGTGTAAACTGACACTTAAAATGCACGTGTTTACAGCTTTGTCTGCAGTACATGTTCATATTTGGGGTGTAACGGTACAAAAATCACAGTACGTCAGTCTGTTTTTATGCATGTAGTTTATATTTTTATTAGGGCCAGGCATGTTAACGCGTTAATTTTGCGTTAACTAATGAATTCATTATCGCCTACAATTATTTTAACGCCGTTAACGCAGTTTTTATTATTTTTTTATTGTAAACGTCTGTTGCTCACTGGCTTTTATTTTGAAAAAGTCCACTGCGAGCGTTTCTTTAAGTTTGACGTCTTTTCTTTACACTTTTTTCACTTTTTATCTGACCACGTGAGATGCAACGTGTCCGAGACTCCGCAGACCAGACCAGCCGTGGGCTCTGAGCTTCCGCGAGCTCCTAGCGCCGACCGGGCCACGGGTCTTTCTCTTTTTTCTCCTTCCAGACGCCCCTGAGGCGTCCAAATAGAGGTGTCCAGTGCGGTTTTCGTCGCTGCAGTCTTGCTTACATTTGCTGTTACAGGGTAATCGTGAAGACCCGGAAGATTTCATTGATAACTCAGTGAAATATGATTGGCTCAGACAACTGTCAATCTCAAACTTCATTCCAGCCACTGGTTCAGTGCTGCAGGGAGAGTCGCTGATTTACCTAAATTCCATTGGAAGAAAAATTGTGATTGGTCCATTTCCATTCCATTATATAACTTATAAAAGGTTCTAAATAACCTTTGTTTCCCAAGAAATATCAGTCCAAGTTTATAACAGTGATCTAGAAATTATTACTAGTGTCGTGTTTATTACTCACTGAATAAAAAATATGGAAAAAATATATTAGTAGCATAAAAATTCATTCAATATTTTTTCTTGAGCCTTCAGAAAACCTTGAAGGCTCTGAGGGTTTACAATAAAAGTGCAGCTATACGGCACTTTTTAATTCACGATTAATCACACTCAAACTCATGCGATTAATGCGATGAATATTTTTTATTTTTGCCCAGCCCTAATTTTTATGTGGACAGGTGTTGAAAACTAGAACACTCAAAGCAACGCGTCTGACTTGTCTAATGCGACTGTGATGTCCTTAATAAACATAAATAAATAAATAAATATATATATATTAAAGAGCTGAGCCTCCGTGTAGCTGCACATGTAGTGGAGGAATGTAAACACACACAAATTGCGCAAATTCACTCGTGCCGAACCGAAAATCCCGGCACGAATACCTGTACCGTTACACCTCTAGTTCATATCATCTCAATTTACTTCATGAACCCACATACAGGCACCAAACTTTCTCCTTGAATGTTGAATTGGGGTCTGATCTGGTGAGGGACTCGAATCCATTTCAAATTAGGAAGTGGGATCTTGTCTCTTGAACCTTCTATCCATAAAAGATAACAAAACCAGTCACCGACATGAAGGCAGAGGTAACACTCTTAGTAACTGCTCTGATTTCTCACCAAGCTTTGATATCCGCATGCACCAATCCCCGCTCAACCTGGCGAGGGGAATTCGAGTTCAACGTTTGCCAGATTCTGATTCAAAAAAATAAAATATGAAAAATATAAAGAGTTAAAAAAAAGCGTGGGGGGGGGCAAAGGGAGAAATCATATTGGAATGCAGTTTTATTTTTGAGCGAGTCTCCCTCATCTTCTCGCCGCCTTCATCTGCAGTCGACTGTTCGGAATGCTGGCTCCAGATGGGCCTCCCCACCCCCCCATGACCTACTTGTAAGGATTGGGCTCTGTACTGCGCTGGATGCAGAGATTTTCTCCCGTTTTTGCCGAGCGAGGTTAGGATGGTTATGAAACTGGCTTCGTTCCTTGAGTCTGGGACGCGGAAGGCGAATCTGGATCACGTACCGTCACACACCTTAGCGTGTTTTAAACCAGATCTATTCGAGCACCAAACCAGGACTAAAAATGGTCTAAATAAGGACTAAACACGGTTAAAAAAAAAAAAAAAACAGGTCAATTCCAGGAGATAACCAGGATTAAACAAGACCCAAACGTAGACTAAATGTGGATGAACCGAGATCTAACAAAGGGCTAAATCAAGACAAATGAAAGACTAAAACAGAAATAAAACAGAACTAATCCAGGATTCTCCAAGGCCTAAACCAAGACTAAACTAAGATTGATGGTTTTGTAATAATAAAATCGTGAAACGAGTGGGTAATTAAAGAAAACTGTTATGCACTCGGTCCATTCATGATCAACATTTGAGTCAGTATAGTCACATTTTCTTTGTATTTTGGTCATTTTTAAGCAGCTTTTGTGTATTTTACTGAAACAAATGACATTTTATGGCTCTCTTTACTGTTGGCAGGGATCAAACTGGTCAAAAATAGGGCCATCTGGAACATTTCGTGTCAATGGATTTGGATAAATCTGCTGGGACAAGGCGACACAGGGCTCAAAACTGGGACTGTCCTGGGTAAATAGGGACGTCTGGTCACACTAACTTAACCACCAGCAGGACTAAACTAGGATTAAAAAAGGACTAAAGACAACGAGACTAAAGCATGACTTAACCAGGACCAAAAAACAGGACTAAGTGAACAATAAACTTGAGCTAAATCAGCAGTTAATCAGGACTAAACTAGGATTAAACAAGGTTTAAACCAAGACTAAAGAATGACAAAACTAAAACTAAACCAGGACTAAAACAGGACTCTAGAGGGACATCAGATGAATCTCTTTTCCCCTGTTTTGGGTTCTACATCCACCACAGTTCACCTGAGCAGACACAGCTGATGCAGTGGGGGGGGACTATATTATTTTAGTCAATCATTTGTGTCACTGTGGGGTACTTGAATTGTTAAAGCTTCAAAGATCTGTGCTTCATATGTTTAAGTGAGTGTTGTCACAATACTAAAAGGGAAAGGCTTGAGACTCAGTACCAAATCTGATACCTTGAAGATAATAAAAACACTATTAGTGCTACTCTTTCATATCACCATGTGGTCTTATATCTGTGTAATTCCTCAGTTGTCCAAGTTCTATAGTTGTCTACGAGCACATACTTCTGTGTGCTCTTGTACTTGTTCTGAATCAGCTCAAGATCATCTAAAACTATTCAGGAAAGGTTTATTTCTGTCCTGTAGATGTATTGATACCTGCTCAAATAAGGTTACTGACATTCATTTATTTTTTCTTCTTTTTAAAGACGATACAGTAGGAGGTGTATTAACCTTGTTGACAGTAACAACAGCTGATATACAACACGTCACCTCTAGAGCATGAAAACCCGACCGAAGACCCATCGGGTCCTGTCCTGTCCTATCTGAAGTAGAGCATTACTAATACAGGATTTTTAAAGCGTAAAAGATTGGAGATAAAGTCCACAGGAAGTAGAGTCACTATCGCAAACCTGCAGCTTCTGCATCTCGGTCCGAGAGCTGTGTGGATGTAAATAAACATACATGGAACTACTCGCCTTTTTACTTTTAACACTTCAGACAGTGTTGTTTTGTACCACTTTACGAGAGGTGCATAATAAAGTCTAGTCATTATTTTAGCTCCATCCCAACTCCTGAGTTTATATTTTGCGTCTCTGTGTACATTAGAGGCCACACAAACAATATCCTACGTGTGTTATTAGGCCTATGAAAATATTTAGCTTTTAATTGTGTGAGGTTCAGTCGGGTTCAGACACAAATATCTTAATGCCTCTCGGGTCAGATTCGTTCACTGTCGTATGTGGGCCGGGCTCAGACAGAAAAATTCTGCCCAATCCAAACTAATCACCACCAACACCAGTAACAGCTGCCGAAACATGTCAACAAGGTAAATTCACCTTCTACTGTATTGTCTTTAAATAGAACCCAAGAAGGTTACTGACAGTTTGGAGCCCATCACTTTGGATTAACAAAAACCTGAAGATTCCTCATGCATATGCCACAGTTCCTTTTATTTGAAAATTATTTTACTCATTCTAATGTTTGGTTTAAATCAAACAAC